ATAATCCTAGTGTTTTATATCAAAAAAGAAAGTCAATATGAAAAGAAAGAAAGAGTAGACAACCAGGATTGATATTTGTTTAAACCTCATATTCTTTCTGCTTCAGGAGGAAAGTTCTATAACATGTGAGAATTTTAATTAATCTAAGAGATATTTATCAAGTACCTTTAGTGCTGAAGGTAATATGATTGGAAATACAAGATTTACAGATTTTTATTAGTAATAACTACCATGTATTGGGTGCCCACTTTATGCTGGATACTGTGCTAAGCTCTTTCTATTCAGTGGGGTGGATGGCAGGGGAGTTATTGTTATCCCCATTAAAACATGTGGCGACTAGAGCCCTAAGAATTTAAGAAACTTGCCTAGGGTCTCAGAGTTAGTAACATGAAGCTGGAATTCAAACACAGGTATGTTAGACCCCAAAGCATATTCTCTTTCTACATTATGCCACTGTGCTTTCATAGACTTTATGGTCTAATAAGAAGGAAAAACAAGTATACAGATAATTAAAATGTAAAACCATAAGAGAAGTAAAAAAAAAAAAATGCTATACAGATCAAACTGGCTAATAGCATATGCAGTTGTAAAAAAATTCAGGAAGAACTTCATGGGAGAAGTGGGACATTTTGACAGGCTTGGAAGCTGGATAATATATTAACATGCATGCTCAAAGAATTTTGGCCGTCAGTGGCCATTTCAGGGAAAAAACCTGAATTTTGAGGCTGGGTGTAGTGGCTCATCCCTATAATCTCAGCACTTTGGGAGGCTAAGGTGGGAGGATCGCTTTAGACCTGGATTTCAAGGCCAGCCCAGGCAAAATAGCAAGACCCCTCTCTACAAAGTAAATTTTAAAAATTAGCTGTGCATGGTGGCACATGCCTTTAGTCCTAGCTACTCAGGAGGCTGAGGCAGGAGGATCACTTGAGCCCAGGAGTTCAAAGCTACAGTGAGCTATGATCTCACCACTACACTTCGGCCTAGGTGACGGAGCAAGACCCTGTCTCAAAAAAAACAAAAAACTCTGAGTTGAAGACCTTCTTAAGTAGCAATTTCCATTTCCCTGAATTTTGAATGGGATTAAACCAATTTGTATAATTTGGCCAGTTTGTGAAAAGACTAGAGCAGTGGGTCCCAAACTTTTTGATATGAGGTCTGCTTTACACTCATAAAAATTAAGGACCTTAAAGAGCTTTCTAAATTTTGTATCTATTAATAGTTACCATATTCAAAATTAAAACCAAGAAATTTTTAAAATATTTATTAATTCGTTTTTTTTTTTTAGATGGAGTCTCTCTATGTTGCCCAGGCTGGTCTTGAACTCCTGTGCTCAAGCTATCCTCTCGTCTCAGCCTCCCAAGTAGCTGGGATTATAGGCGTACACCACTGTGCCCAGTGTAATTCATTTTAAAATAACAACAATAAACCAATTACATATTAACATAAATAACATTTTTTTAAAAAATTAGAAGAGCGGCATTGTTTTACACTTTGCAGATCTCTCTTAATATTTGGCTTAATTGAAGAAAGCTAGATTCTCCTATCTCTTTCTGCATTCAGTCTGTTGTGATACCATACATCATGTAACCTCTAGTACCCCACTGTACGTTCATGAGAGAATGAGAATGAAAAAGGCAAATAAGATTTCAGTATTACTAAAAAGCAGTTTTGACTTCACAGATTCCCTGAAAGAGTCTCGAAGACATCCAGGGATCTCCAGGCCACACTTTAAGAACTTCCAGATTAATATTTATTGACTTGCTGATTTCTAAAAAAGCCCAGAACATTGATTTGGATTTATACCTTAAGTCCTGTAATCTCTGACCTCTTCACAGTTTTCATTCATTCATTCATTCTTTCATTCTGCCATTCAGTAAACATTTGAATAAGAAAAAGTGCCTATTCTCACTGTACTGGGCTCTGTAAATACAAAGGAATAAGACATTTACTGACTTTGAAGAACTCATGGTGCAGAAATGGAAATAAACTGAAGCAGTGATAGTAGTATAGTACAAAAATAGAGCAGGATGCTGTGGGAGCATAGATGAAAGAATAGCGTGGAGATGTCTGGCAAAGCCTCATAAGGAAGAATTTCCGCTTAAGCTATAAATCTAGCCAAGGAGAGGGGCAAAACAGGAAAAGGGGCTGAGGTTCAGAGACTGCATTTGATAAATCAAAGTATTTTACTACGGCTAAGAAAATGAGAAGTGGCAAAAGATGAATTTGGAGAAGCAGCCAGAGTGCAAACTGTGAAGGGCCTTCCTTCTTAAGCCATTCTACATAATTTGAACATTATCCTTTATGCTGGTGCTTCTCAGACTTTAATATGGATAAAAGTCAATGAAGGAGCTTAATAAAAACATAGAATCATTTTTCTGTATTTTCTGATTCTGATTCTTTAGGTTCAGAACGCAGTTCAAGAATTCCATAATTCATTCAGCAAATATTTATTGAGCTCCAAGTGAGTATCAGTCAGAGTTTTATATATTGGGGATTCAGCATCATACAAGATATTTGGGAGATTTTTTACAAGAAATGTCCTTAATGGCTACTTTTTTAATTACCCCAAGTAATTCTGGGGTGAATGGAACAGGGAAGCCACTTAAGAAATGATGGCAGGATGTTGAATTCTAAAAACAGGGATAATATAGTCAGATTTATGTTTTAGAAAATCACTTTGCATATAAAAGATGGATTAGAAGGATGTGAGAACAGAAGAGTTAAGAAGGTGTTGATCCAGTTCAAGAGCATTAATAATATTTAGTGTCTATATAAAAACAATGATAAGGGAGTCGTAGAAAAGTAGCAGTATTTAGAAAATATTTCTGAAATAGAATCAGTACTGTAGCAGGATTTGTTGATCTGTTGGATTGGGAGTGATGTTAATAGATTATTTTCAGACTCTTACTGAAATTATTAACCTACTGAAACAGTTGAATTGCAGGATTTCCATCCAGAAAGAGAAGACTAAGAGATGGTTTTAAAACAACTGAATTATTGAAAGACTAGAAGATATTTTGTTTTACCAACAATGTTATGAAAGGAAACCTCAGAACATTTTACATTTATTTTGGGGGGTATTTAGTAAGTTTTCATTATTCATAAATAAAGTCATAGCTACAAAAGAAACTTTAAAGCTTGTATAATCCTAGTCTTTTATTTTTATAGATGAAGAAATTTAGACAGAAAGGAAAGGATTTCCTGAAAAGTCACCTAACTATTACAGTTAGTGCCAGAGCTATCAATATCTCCTGTCTTCCAAGCCAGAATTCAGCCTGCCAGTCAAGTATATAGATAGTCCGGGGATCCATATGTTAGTTAATTTTCTACCCTTATTTTTCTAGGGAGACAAATCTGACAGAATCGGAATTTGTGAATTTTGAGTCTGAGAGCTTGAGTGAATTAGTCGGTAGGTAGGCACCAACTTCAGTGCTAACTCAAGAAAAATAATGGATTGTGCAATTTTAGCCTGATTTCACGTATTAGTTTGCTAAGGCTACCTTAACAAAGTACCACAAACTGGTTGGCTTAAGGAACAGAAATTTGTTATCTCACAGTTCCAAAGATTAGAAGTCCGAGATCAGTGTTTGTTCCTTCTGTGGGATGTAAGGAAAGCCTTGTTCCAAGCCTTTCTCCGTGGCTTGTAGATGGCTGTCTCCTCTGTGTTTTCGTATCCTCCCTCTGCCAGTTTCTGTGTCCAAGTTTCCTCTTCTTAGAAGGACACCAGTCATATTGGATTAGGAGCCACCCTAATGACCTCATTTTAACTTGATGACCTCTATAAAGATCCTATCTCCAAATAAGGTCACATTCTAAGGTACTAGGGCTTCAATGTATGTATTGTGTAGGCAACACAATTCAACCCATAACAATTTGTTTTCTTTTTTATTTTAGTTACAATATACTACATTTATCAAACAAATAACAGTTCCTAAGTATTTTTTATCAGATTTGTGAAAATCTGGTGAAAACAATGGATCTTCTCCCCAGGAAAACACATATACCAATTAAATTTACTGTTATTCCAGAAAGATTCTTAGCTATGCAAAGGACATCGTTTCAGTGTTTTATTTTACAATATAATTTGAGAAATATAATCATTTTATACAGAACTTTCAGTAATCTGTTGTGTAAATAAAATATAAGGAATTTATTCAGATCTATTTGTTACATCAGAGTTGCCCATCAAAGGATTACTTTGTGAAATATAAGTCAATTTCTTTATTGATATTGTGGCATTATCATCAGTTTATTTAGGATGGATTACAGAAAAGGTAGCCATGAAGCCACTTATATGAACTTTTATTTGTTCTTTAAGCATGGTTATACTATGTTTATTTGCATGCAAACATAGCAACAGCAATCATACTTTGTCTAAGTATTTTAGCACATACTCTTTTACTGAACTATTATTTTTAGGAATATACAATGTCTTATCAATTCACCTATAACACCTGTATTAGTGAAAATAACTCAGAATATGTGTTTGCTTTGCAGTTCCTAGAGGGGAATCCAATTATTTAGGTCATGCACAATTCTCAGGGTCTTTATGGTAGATATTGGGGGCCACAGACGGTTGAACATAGGTGAGGATTAGTTTACTCTCTTATCACCTTACAACCGAAGTTCCAGCTTTCTGGCCTCTTTTGGTGCTACTACACAACCACACATAAAAGATTTACCTGAAGCAAGTGCAAAAAAATTCTAGCTGTAGGATTCAGCTGGCCGGCTGGTTAACTCACTTGACTAAGAGTCCTTCCAACCAGGAGTTAAGGATTTTAATTTAAGCCATTTCTGAGGGTGAAGAACTTGCCAGATTCATATATTCTAGTTCATATGAATATTACTAAAATGTTTTAGTCCAATATCTTTAAAACTACTAATTTATTGAAAAGAGATTCTTTTCCCCAGTGTATGTTTTTGTCAGCTTTGTCAAAGATTAGATTACCATATGCAGATGGTTTCATCTCTGGATTCTCAGTCCTGTTCCAGAGGTCAATGTCTCTATTTTTGTGCCAGTACCAAGCTGTTTTAATCACTACAGCCTGGTAGTACAGCTTAAAGTCAGGTAAACTGATACCTCCCAGTTTGTTCTTTTTACTTAAGATTGCTTTGGCTATACGAGGTCTTTTCTGGTTCCATACAAAGCGTAGAATTATTTTTTCCAGATCTGTGAAGAATGATAATGGGATTTTGATAGGGATTGCATTAATTCTGTAGATCACTTTAGGTAGTATGGACATTTTAACGATATTGATTCTACCAATCCATGAGCAAGGTAGGTTTTTCCATCTGTTTACATCTTCTACAATTTCTTTTTTTAGTGTTTCGTAGTTCTCCCTGTATAGGTCTCTTACATCTTTGGTTAAATATATTCCTAGATATTTAATTTTCTTTGAGGCTATTGTAAAAGGAATTGCGTTTTTGATTTGATCTTCTGCTTGATTGTTGTTGGCATATATGAATGCCTCAGATTTGTGTGTATTGATTTTGTAGCCTGAGACTTTGCTGAATTCATTTATCAGTTCTAGGAGTCTCTTAGATGAGTCTTTGGGGTTTTCTAGATATAATATCATATCATTGGCAAAGAGCGAGAGTTTGATCTCGTCTGTCCCCATTTGGACACCCTTAATATCCCTCTCTTGCCTAATTGCTAAGCTACATGCAGAAGACTGAAACTAGACCCCCACCTCTCACCTCTCACAAAAATCAATTCAAGATGGATAACAGACTTAAACCTAAGGCATGAAACCTTAAGAATCCTAAATGACGATGTTGGGAAGACCCTTTCAGACATCGGCCTAGGCAAGGAATTCTTGAAGAAGAACCCCAAAGCAATTGCCGCAGCAACAAAAATAAATAAGTGGGATCTAATCAAATTAAAAAGCTTCTGCACTGCTAAGGAAACTATCATTAGAGTGAATAGACAGCCCACAGAATGGGAAAAAATATTTGCTCTCTACACATCTGATAAAGGGCTGATAACCAGAATCTATCTAGAACTCAAAAAAATCAACAAGAAAAAATCAAACAACCCCATCAACAAATGGGCAAGGGAAATGAACAGAAACTTTTCAAAAGAAGACAGAATAATGGCCAGCAAACATATAAAAAAATGCTCAACATCTCTAATCATTAGAGAAATGCAAATCAAAACCACAATGAGGTATCACCTAACCCCGGTGAGATTGGCCTCTATCAAAAAAACACAAAACAACAAATGTTGGCGAGGATGTGGAGAGACAGGAACACTTTTACACTGCTGGTGGGACTGCAAATTAGTGCAACCTCTGTGGAAAAGAATTTGGAGATACCTCAGAGAGCTAAAAATAGAAATACCATTTGATCCAGCAATAGCACTATTAGGCATCTACCCAAAAGAGCACCAAACATTCTACGATAAAGACATCTGCACCCGAATGTTTATGGCAGTACAATTCACTATTGCAAGAATGTGGAAACAACCCAAGTGCCCGTCAATCCATGAGTGGATTATCAAAATTTGGTATATGTTTACAATGGAATATTACTCAATCATAAGAAACAACAGTGATCTAGCACCTCTTATATTTTCCTGGATTAAACTTAAGCCCATTATCCAAAGTGGGGCACCACAAGAGCAGAAGAACGGATCCATTTGTACTCACCATCAAATTGGTACTAACTGATCAACACTAGGTTGATCACATGGCAGAAATACTCTCTAGGGATTAGGGGGATGGGGGGCAAATCTACAACTAAAGGACACGGGGAGCACTAAAGGGAGGGAAGGGCATGCCTTTAACCCGCACTTGGGTGAGGTAAAGACATAAAGTGTAACTATAATGTTTGTACCCTTACAAAACCCTGGAATAAAAAAAAAAACTACTAATTTAATTTATGAAAGTCCATTTCTGATATTCATTGTACTAATTAGCAAAATATTTGGTACTGATCAGAGATAAAAGTTAGCTGAAGTGCTTAAGCCTTGCAGTATGGCCTTTGATCAAATGCTGTTACCACTCTGGAGTGGTTATACATTCCCAGTTAGGACAACTGACTTCCCCTCAGGTATAGACCAGGATGTACACATTTATATCATATTGTCTATGCTGAAATGTGTCAAATTACAGGCCACGTGACACCACTTATATTTTTATACTGTGGTGTTAACAATTTAGAATTTCAGTACCCTCTTCTTTGTTCCTTTTCTAATTAAGTTACTAGGTTTTAGATGATCTAAGTTTCATTATCTCTCCTTCTGTCAGAAAGGGAGATCTTTCTAACACATGGATAGATAAATAGATGTCTGCCAGACTGTCTACCTTTCCTTCATTCTTCCTTTTAAAACTTCTATATTTTTAAAAAGTATTTTGTGTTCATTGAAGAAAATATGGAAAATAAAGAGAAGCAAACAGGAGGAAAAAAATCACCTGTTATCCCACCATTCAGCAATCATCATTAAAACCCATCTATTTTTCTGTATCTATTTCCATTAAAAAAAAAAAAAATCCCTCAAGCCCAGGAATTCTAGACTACAGTGAGCTATAATCTTGCTGCTACACTCTAGCCTGCGGGACAGAGCAAGACCCCATCTCTGTGGGGGGCGAGGGGGGAACTTCTGAGATCTTTTATTATCACTTAACAGTATAACAGGTATTTCCTTGAGTCCTTAACTATTTAACAATATGGGTGTTTTGGTTTTTTGTTTTGTTTGTTTTGTTTTTTGAGACAGGGTCTCACTCACCCAGGCTAGAGTGCAGTGACATCATCTTAGTCACTGCATCCTCAAAATCTTGGACTCAAACAATCCTCCTGCCTCAGCTTCCCTAGTAGCTGGGACTGCAGGCACGTGCCACCACCCCTGGCTAATTTTTCTATTTTTTGTAGAGATGGCGTGTTGCTCTTGCTCAGGCTGGTCTCTAATTCCTGGCCTCAAGCAGTTCTCTCACCTTGGCCTCCCAAAGTGCTAGGATTACAGACATGAGCCACCATAGCTGCCCGGCAATGTGGTTTTTAATAGTTGCATGAGATTCCAATGTATGGGTAGATCATAACTTATTCAAACAATTTCCTATTGCTGGACACTTAGAATATCTCAAGTTCACTATTAAAGGCACTGCCAGACTTTTTAGAGTGAATTCCTTTTTGCTTCTTCAGACCTAGTCCTTTTGTACCCATCATTTTTTCTGTCACTGGCTGTTAAAATGTTAATCTAATCCTTTTTTTAAGTCAATCTTACATAATTCTTTAATTTAGGTTTTCATAAGTTGTGATTTTTAGCTTTTCACTAATATAAACCTTATAATTGGATAAAGCAGGTTAAAAATACTGTTGGAATTTTTAGTACTCTAATTAATATCCTAGCTTATTTTTAAAAATGATTTTAGGAGTATATATCCTGGGAAAATATGGACAGAAGAAAATCAGAGAAATACAAGAAAGAGAGGCTGCAGAATACATTGCTCAAGCGCGACGACAATACCATTTTGAAAGTAACCAAAGGACTTGCAATATGACAGGTAAGACAAACAGAAATATTTATGCATGTATAAAGTTGTTTGATGGTTTTTATTAATTTGGATACCTCCAGGACCAAATTTAGAGGAAAAGACAAAGAAAGAATGATAAATCTAGGAGGTATTTGTGTTATTTAACTGAAATATGTCATTTTAATGTGAATTTTAAAAATCAATGTAAAGCAATACTAACACTTATTCATTCATTTTATTTATTCATTCAGCAAATACTTGTACTGAGCACTGGTGAAGCAGGAGGTGAACAACAACAACAACAAAAAATCCCTGACCTTTGAATTTTATATTCTAGCGAGACGAAAAGATGATAAATAACAAATAGATAACTTTAGGCAGTGATGGCTGCCATAAGAGACTAAAGCCATGTGAGGGATGGGATGCTCTTTAAGACAGGGCAGTTAGGAGAATCAATTTTCTTTGAGGTGACATTTGAGGAGTAACCAAAATGATACAATGGAGGGAGCCATGCAAAATGCCTGAGGTGGGGAAAAGATTGGAACATTCAAGAAATAGCAAAAAGACCATGTAGCTAGAGTGAAATGAGCAATGGCAGAGTGATAGGAAACAAGGCTGCAGAAGTGGGCCTGATCCCATTGGGCCTGTAAGTCAGAGTAAAGAGTTATAAGTTTGTTAAATGTTTCAGAAGGCAACTAACTAGAGACCTGTAAGTCTCACAGTACTATATGCTGAGTCAATGTTAATTAATGTCAATAATTTAACCTCCAGAGCTTAGTATTAGGAGAATGCCATAACAAAATGTACCTGCCCATAGTTGAAAGGAACATGGTGTTATGTTCTAACTGGCATATTCCTTGAAGAATTGGTTCTCAAATCCACATCAACCTGTTTTTCTTTTTTATTGTTCAAAGCTTACTCTTTTCTCTAACATTTCTGTCAAGAATAATTAATTTAGAAAGAATTTATAAAAGTAGGTTCTTGTTCAATTTTAAAAGTAGAATTTTTTTCAGAGTTAAAAGGACTTATTGGTTCACTTCCCTCGTTTTACTTAAGGCTCAGATCAAGAGGTTAAGGGACACATCTAAAGTGACAGCTGGAGTATGATTTTTAATATTTGAAGTAATAATACGCAGAAAAATACCTTCATTCTTTAAAGCAAGTAGTATTCCTAAATACTGCATATCATGACAACTGTGATAAGGCGCAGTGAGTAAGTGCTCAAGCTCTCAGGTGAGGCAGATCTGATCCAGTTCCCAGTTTGCCTTGTATTATCTGTGTGTCTTTGGACCAATCTAAGTTCTCTTGCCTATAAAATGAATATCATAAAACCCACTTCATAAATGTTTTGTGAGGCTGTGATGAGTTAAAGCATATAAAGTGCTTGGAATATAATAAATACTCAGTAAATGATAACTTTTTGAAGATCACATAATTCTTTAAATTGACATTCAGGATTCAATGTAGTGGTGCTGCCTAGAATATTTTAATGAATTTTTAGAGAACAATCTGTTTCTGGTTGTTACTCAGTTTTTCAGAAATAGTATAAGGCAGCTGCTGCGGTCCCGCAATACATCTCGATTTGACATGGACCTTTGTGTCAGTCTGGCGCCCCCAGGAAGCAGATGGGCTTAGATATGCAAGAGACCTATTAGGAGAAATGCCGGTGAAGAATAAAGAGAAGGAGAGGCCTTTCTACCACAATGCATTTCTGACACTTGTGAACAGAAAGGGAGAAGGAAGGAAGGAAGAAAGATTAGGTAAGAAGAGTCGGAGACTACAGAACATTCTAAGAAAGTTGTGGCAGGCCAATGGGGAGTCTACAAGCCAAAGTTTCTGGTAGAGGAGAATACAGGAATGGGCCTGCTTCCACCCAAGCACTGTCCTTGGCTGGCAGCAGTGCAGACGTGGTAGTGGATCCAGAGGGGTGGCAGCTGGGGCTGTCAGTTCTGTGCTCCTCCCAGAAGACGATGTGGGTCACCCATGTCCATGATGATCACAACCCTCAGATGAACAAATAGCTGACTATAGGCTATTAAAAATAAAATATGGTGATCATTAGGAGCCAAAATATAGGTTCACTGAAAAACTTTCCAAATTAGCTTTCTAGTATGCATTGATAATGGAGTTACAAATAATATGATTAAATTTCTATCCTTTTGGATAAGATGTAATGGATATACTAGAAAAATATTAATACTTTTGGGTAAATATAACTAGTTTTCCTACCCAAGAAATTTTCTCTTTTAGAATGTGGTGTTTGTGATCTCTTGATATTTTTTCATTTTGTTATCATTACTTATTTAGTGTTAGAAACTCATTTTAAATTTATGTGTGTGCATTTCTCCACCATTTCTTATTCCATGTGTAGAACCAGAAATAAATTAACTCCTAAAAATTTCATGCAGTCTTTTTTCTATAGAGTACTATGTCTCATTTCATCTTCACATTATTCCTGGGATTAGCAGACAAACAGTTCCCATTGACAAAACCAAAACTAAAATTCAGCAGCTCTTAATTCCTAGCCCAGTACTTTGTGTAGGTTATAATAAATACTTACTGCTTTGTAGTATTTAATAAATAACTTTTCTAAAATTAGAAACAAAATATGAAGCAAAAAGTATAGTCAAGATAAAAATGTTTTTCATTTTCATTATATCAGAAGCAAACATTTCTTATAAAAACTTCGAGAGTACAGAAAGGAAGAAGAAAAAAGAATTATTCATAATCCAAAGATGACCACTGTTAACATCTAGGAATAATTCTTTTCATTTATTTGTATATAATAGTTTTATATTGTTTCTATTAATAATTTGAATTCTCTAGCCCTGACCTTCCCTTCCAACTCTTGCTAGTTGCTAGCCCTATCACATAGCCTAAAACAATGTGCATTTCTTGGTGAGGGCAGTCATCACTTGTGACCATTTTTATTTTCTGTTTTATTGCAGTGCTGTCCATGCTTCCAACACTGAGAGAGGCCTTAATGCAGCAACTTAATTCTGAGAGCCTCACAGCCCTGCTAAAAAACAGGTGAATGCAAGTTATAACATTTTTTGTTTATGTACTACACTTAAAGCTTATAGAAAGTAGATCTTACATCACTTTTAAATTATTCTGAAATTTAATTATTGGGTGCTTGTGAAATGTGTTCCTGAACCAGATGCTGTGAAGCTAACAAAGTTATATTAAATATTGTGCTTCTTAAAGAGTTTATAGTGTAATAAATAAAGCATGTGAGCATACATTTTAAATAAATAAGGCATATAGAACTTATATTTTAAGTTAATAACAAAATTAAATACAAAAATAACATAAGCATACAACACTAATAATTTACATAACTATGACAGTTTACTGTTTCCAAAGCACTTTCACATATATGACCTTATATATGGAGTGCAGTATGTGTTGGGGTATTGTAATTTGGTATGATGCTGTGTTAGTTTGAGAAGGAAATGGCTTCTTAATGAAGCCATTAAGAAATGGCTTCTTAATGAACAAGGTAGGGGGGTATAGTTTCATTAAATAAATTTTAATCATTGTAATCTTACTAAAATAATCAATTGCCTTGTAATCACCTGTCCAATAGCCAGGGGAAAGGGGGTGTTATTTCCTGAATGTCTCACCATGCCAGGCCTGGTTCCAGGTACCTTCCATATATGCACACATTTAATTTACACAATATACCTGAGAGGCAGATAATTATCTCTGTTTTGCAATAGGAATTTAGTGCTCAGACAAGTTAAATAGCAAGCTGAAAAATTTCTTTGAAAATGTTTTCTGTATTCAGAGAATACTTCCCAAAATAACAATGAATTTGTGTACTTGGGATTTTTTTTTTCATCTGATTAAAGTATAATGCTAGTGATAAGGGTTTGTCCCCTTTAAATTTCATCATTCTTAGATGTAGACAGACTTTTCTTCCTTTTTACAGATATAAGGTTTGGTTTATAAATTAGTTCATATAATTACATGAAGAAAAAAACATAAGCAGATTGCTTTTGGTTAAGTAAATACTTATTTACCACCTATATATATGTACATAGGTAAGGACTAAAAAGAAATAGATTTTGATTGCCATAAGTTTTAATCTAATGAGAAGGCAAGACAAATAAGTTAATAGCACTTTTATAAAAGCAGTATACTAATGGACATAGTAATCGTAGTGGTATTCTTCCTTCTTGGCGAATCTCTGTTTCCTGTAAGGCCCTGTGTTCCATTTGCTTTGGAGGATTCAAGATAATTAAGATAAGGTCCCTCTCCCTTTAAGGACTTGTCACCCAAAGGAGGAAATATACTAAATACATTATCATAATTCAACATACATTATGTTTACTGCTATAAAAAAGTAAAAGCAAAATGTGGGAGAAAATATGGGAGTATAGAAAAGAAAAAATATAATTAATTTTGATAGATAATCCTGGGCAGCTTTAAAGAAAAGTAGTGATTCCCCTTTTCTTACTCAATACACAGGGAAGAGAATTTCTTAAATTCTGGAGAATTTAAGATGGGCCACAGCTCTCATTCTCTGTTTCCTCTTTAAATATCTCAATGTTAATTTTTTCTTGGCTTTCTTTTGATTTAAAATTACTATTCGCAATTCGGTGGTGGTGGGGCTGTCCATTTGAAAAATATTTAGATAAAGAAGGGCTTGAGGTCTTACAAAGTGTCATTACATAAGGCTTCCAATCTTATGACTGCTTTTATATTAGTTTTATATGAGACTCTGGTCTCATATGAGCCTGTCAAACAAGTTAGTTTTCTCTTTAAACTAATTGTGAAAATAACTAATCAGAAATAAATAAATGATTTGATAGTCTTCTTTCATCAGTTTCATAGTAGCAAATAAACAGCCATCCTGTTTTCAATACTTGGTATTCTAATTGAAGACTGATCATGGCAATGAAGTTTTAAAGGCAAAAAATCTTAAACGCCCTCCATAAGACAGGTGGAACACTTTGAAGGGATTAGTTTAATTCTTAAGCAGATATTTTAGTGACATTAAAGAGTCTAGCTATATTTAACTTGGAATTGATTTTCATTAGACAAATCATTTGCATAGAAAGTACTTTTCCCAATTCTTCTAGATTTGGAATCTTTTACATAGATTTTGGAATGTTTAAAAAAGATAATGTCAATATTTTAAAATCTACTTTTAAAGTCTAATAATGGTGAGTGTCAACACTAAAAAATGTCTTAGGTAACTATAACTCTGTCTTCTCCCACCAAAGCCACCTCAAATAAAAAACAGTTTCAGCAAACATAGTTTCAATTCAAATACCCTAATTTGCCCTTCCACAGATTGCTACTACTAAGCACTTTCTATACTGAAATTTTTGGAATAACTGTTTTTTTTATCTTGGTTCATTTAGAATTTTTATAAGAAGTACTTTGAAATTTTTCTGAGAGTGCATTCAAAAGAAGATGTGATTTACTTGTGTTAAATATCTCACCCTTGAATTGTTGTTGATTCCCAATTTAATAAAAATAAATATGTCATTCCCCCTTGAGTCTTGAACATTAGATTAGATTAGATTAAGATTGCAGTGAGGCCCTGCAGGATTTTCTCCACATGTCTGAACCTGTGTCATCTAGGAAAGGGAAGCCTAACGCTCTAGAGTCTGCTCATTGGCAAAGAAAGATGATATGCCATAATTGCAATAGTAACTCAATTTCTTCTGGAAATGCAAATTTATGTCTGAATATAATAATAAATAATGTGGGCTTGTATTTTGTATATCTGTGGTTTTTTATTTCTTTTTTCAGTCATTTATTTTTTATTGTATTACGAAAGTATTGGTCTGTGACAGATTGGAAAGATAAAAGACCAAAAAAAATTTGTCCTTCGACATAGGTGGTTTGAAAGCACTAAACTACATCCACATAGTACATCCACACAATGGTGTACTATTCCTCAGTTAAAAGAAAAAAAAATGACTACTAATATTATTTGAATATTTGTCCCCTCCAAATCTCATGTTGAAATTTGACCCCCAGTGTTGGAGGTGGGGCCTAAAGGGAAGTATTTGGGTCATGGGGGCTGATCCTTCATGGCCATAGTAAGGAGAGAGTTCTCACTCTATTTGTTTGCAAGAAAGCTGGTTGTTTAAAAGAGCCTGGCACCTCTCCTCTGTCTCTTGTTCCCTCTCTTACCATGTGACACACCTGTTGCCCCTTCATCTTCTGCCATGAGTAAAAGCTCCTGGAGGTCCTCACCAGAAGCAAATGCCAACACTATTCTTCTTGTACAGCCAGCAGAACCATGAGCCAAATAAACCTCTTTTCTTTATAAATTAAGCCAGCCTCAGGTATTCCTATAGAGTAACACAAAACAGACTAACACAACTACTGTCTGTATACAAGTATACAATAACCCCCTCCTGCCCTCACCCCAGTCTTTAGCCACCGTTTCACTTTTGAGGTTTCAATACTTGCAGACAACCTCACTCTGAAATTATTAAATGGAAAATTACAAAAATAAGCAATTCATAAGTTTTCGATTGTGTACCATTCTGAGTAGTATGATAAAGTCTCACATCATCCTGCTTTGTCTAGCCAGGGACGTAAATCATCATCCCTTTGTCCAGCGGATCCACGCTGTAGATGCTACCCACCTGTCAGTCATTTAATAGCCATCTGGGTTAACAGATCAACTGTCAAGGTATCATAATCACAGTAGTTTTGTTCAAGGAATCCTTATTTTACTTAATAATGGCCCCAAAGTGCAAGAGTAGTGATGCTATATTATAGTATTATAGTTATAATTGTGCTATTTTATTATGAGTTATTGTTAATTTCATACTGTGACTAATTTATAAATTAAACTTTATCATAGGTATGTATGTATAGGAAGAAACATAATAGGGTTCACTGCTATCTGAGGTTTCAGACATATCTACTCAGGGCTCTTGGAACATATCCCCCAAGGATAAGGGGTGACTACTGTGCTACTATGGAATGATCTCTACAGGATATATTTCTATATTTAAAAAAAAAAAAGGTAAAGAAACATGTGTATAGTATGCTTCCATTTATCTAAGAGGGCAGATATGAAAATACACACACACACACACACACACACACACATACACACATTTGCTTATATAAAGCAAAACAGAAAGTTAAAGCATTTTTTAAAGTCACCTGTGAAGAAAGGAAAGAATAAAGGGGGATTAAGAACAGACTTCCTTGAATATACTGTGTTGTATAAATTTGACTTTGGAACTCATATAAATATTTTACAAATTATAAAACTATGTTTAGAAAGCAATGTCCAAAAATTGATAGTACAATAAATCAAATTAACCTAAATATGATTCTAGTTGATGGTATAATCACAAAGATAGAGACCATGCCAAATTACTTTAAAACAAAAATTGGCTATATATACCTTAATGGGATATATACTTTTTGCATACATGGAGTTGGAAAAACAAAAACTTTAAACTTTTTTCAATATTGCTATTGTTATTCTGAAACTGTTGTTTATGGAGGGATGAAGTAAATTAGTGATTATGTTGGTTTCACTGATTTTTAACTTAACCTCAGTGATCTTACATCTGTATTTAGATCTTACATCTGTATACAGATCTTACATCTATATTTAGATGTAAGATCACTGAGGTTAAGTTAAAAATCCTGTGACTGATTTTCAGTTAGAAATATTAGTATGAATTCATGTTATACTTTATCTCTTTGAATATATGTACATATAAATATACACACTTACTTATTAGCTTAGCCCACTAAAAAGTCTTAGAAATAATGACCTATCTAGTAGCAGTGAACATCCTTAATCTAAGGTTTTGGTCTCTAACTACCATTTCCCACTACAAGAAACTGGGACTCTGAGAGAAATGATTGATTTCAAGTCTACAGCAGGAATTGAACAAGATGAACCAAGAACAACTCTTCATGTCAGAAAGTTTGAAAGCTACCAAATACTAATAAAGGATTATATGAATCAGAATAATTCAGGAGCCAACTTGAATAGTCTTCCAGTGGTCAAAGATGGGCAACTTGAATTGAACATCACTGGGGATAAGAACTGCAGTGCTTTGAAACATATGAGCTATATGTATAAATTCATGTGTTTATAATGATACTAGTGATAAAACAAAAAACACCTCCTATTTACCTTTGAAAGACTACAGGACCTGCTTCATTATTTGTAAAACAGTAAATTAAGGAAAGAAATTAACATTTTTCCTGTTTTTCCTGTATAATTTTATAATAAATGTATGCATAATGCTCAAGAAGTAAAAGACTAGAAGAATACATACCAGAGAAAGTGGTTGTTATCATTAGTTATTGGAATTATAATTGTTTTTTTACTGTATTTTGTGGGCTTTGTTTTCTGCAGTCATCCTATTTTGTTTTTAATTTTAAAAAATTAAATATCAATCTATGAAGTTCAGAGTTTTCTGTTAGATTATCTAGATTAATATTTTCATATTTTCTGACTTTTTCTTTAGGCCTTCAAACAAGCTAGAAATATGGGAGGATCTGAAGATAATAAGTAAGCCTGCATATTCTGTGTAACAGCACATTCTTAAAATATTTATAAAGGGAAATTTTTGTATTCTATCATATAGATGACTCTTCTTTACCTGCCTCATAGAATTTTGTTAGGAATAAATAAAATAATACTCATAAGGCAAGTAGATCAATGGTCATAGAAAGTGCTCAGTAAATGTTAGTGGTAGTGGTCGTGCCATTATTGTTATTGTTATGACAATGATAGGTAAAACTGTCCTAGACTACCTATGCCTTTATTAAGTACTGATATCTCTAATATTATACTTTTAAGTTTTTACTCTAACTTTACTCTGATATTGTATGCAAACTTTTATTAGTGATAAAAATTTGAAACAAAGAGCTGCCCTGGGGCCTATCTATCTACTTATGTCTCAGAACTTCATACTACCAATTATTTCTGTTTTCCCATCCATTCAACTAATCCTTGTTAACAGAATGATACTTAAGCCTTGCCTATTTGAAAACAAATTAAACCTCTCTAGTACCCTGTATTGCCTTTCAGCTATTGCACTTTCTCACACTCCTTATGAGCAAAGATTTCTACATTCCCTTTCTTCTCTTCTTCACTCCTACTCACTGTCTGATGCACTACAGCCTGGCTTCCACTCCTACGTCTCCACCCAGGCAGATATCTCAACCATCAGGAATAACTTCTGATTGCCAAATCCGGTGGACATTTTCCTGCAGCTAGACCTCTCAGCAGCAGTCAACACCTATCCTCTGTTTTGAACACTCTCTCCTAGGCTCCTGTGAAACCTGGTCTCCAGGCTTTCTTCTGTCTTTCTGTACCTTCCTGCAGTCCTTACACAGGCTCATCTTCCTTGACCTGCTATCGAAAGCTATAGTTCTTCCGTGCTCAGCCCTCTTCTCTTACTTGAAACTGGCTCCCTTGACAACTAAGAGTTCTGAGGCTGCAATTCTTTGTGCTTTCTGGTCCTTCCTTGTTTTCCTTTCTAAGTTAGTAATATATACCTCTTTCACCTAATATATTTTATTAGTTATTGCTCCAATTAAGAGGTCATTGCTAATTTACATTAAACAACTTATAAGGAGAGACTAGTTATGAAATACTTTGAATCGATATATTTTTATACTTGAAACAGTTACAAATATATTTTTGAAAGTCAGCTTATGAAAAAATAACCATAGGGATGGTTCATGATTTTACACTTGTGTGTTTTAACAGTAGCAAATGGTGTTTTCTTCCTCTCTGAAGGTTTCACAAGAAGTATCGTGGCAGTGTACAGTACTTGTATGCTGGTTGTTCTTTTGCGCGTCCAGTTAAACATAATTGGTGGATATATTTACCTGGATAATGCAGCAGTTGGCAAAAATGGCACCGTAAGTTCAATAGATTTAAATAGATACTGTCCTTTCTTTCAAGAGGTTCAGAGATTATTATTTATCCTGATAAATAATTTCTATGAAATATCTTTATTTTTCATATGATTGTGAACTTTTAGTAATATAATATTTTTTTTTTATTTTGAAACTACGCTTTTTGGGATGTTAAAGAATACAATTTTTCCTATCATTTCAGATCCTGAAAATTTCAGCTCAAGTTATGCTAAGAGCATTATTTATTTACTAATTTAAAACTTGGATAATTTAACTTTATTTCTGTTTTTTGCAGACAATTCTTGCTCCCCCAGATGTCCAACAGCAATATTTATCAAGTATTCAGCACCTTCTTGGAGATGGTAAGATTCTTACTTGAGACCTGTATACTAATTTTAATTCATTTATTTGTATTATTGAGGAATTTAAAAAGTGAGCAAAGCTTTTAAATTTGTTTTGTCTTTACCAGGCCTGACGGAATTGATCACTGTTATTAAACAAGCTGTGCAGAAGATTTTAGGAAGGTAAGATATTTTTCTTTGACTTTTATGCCTTCCTGATTCTGATTAAAAAAAGAAAAATTAGAATTGTTCTAATGAAGCTGCTGACTTGACAAATGGTGGTTTGTGAACTCTTTGTAGTCTAATCAGACACCTCCCTGGAGTATTGCATTATAGAATCTATTTTCTTCATCAGGATCAATCTTAATAACTGAGGGGAAAGTTTTAATATTTTTGTTGTTTATTGATTCATTTCTAAACAAATCAGAAATATCTGGGTCATGGGATAAAAGACCTACTTTAAAATGTGTCTCTGGGGCTTTTTCCTCCCACTTATACTAGTAATATCTATAATTACAGTAGGAATTTTCTTGTGAAATCTGCAGAAAGATTTTTCTTAGGTCTGTAATTACGGCCCTTAACTGGTGGCTGATTTCTTAATCCATTCTAGGCCAGCCAGCAGTTTCAGGTTTGACCAGATGAAACAAGATTTCAGATAGGAGCCTATTGAGAAAAGAGTGTGTGTAGGATGTGTTGTATAGTTTCATTTTATCCCAATTCCCTTTTTTCTATTTCTAGTGTTTCTCTTAAACATTCTTTGTCCCTTTTGGACTTGGAGCAAAAACTAAAAGAAATCAGAAATCTCGTTGAGCAGCATAAATCTTCTTCTTGGATTAATAAAGATGGATCCAAATCTTTATTATGCCATTATATGATGCCAGATGAAGAAACTCCATTAGCAGTTCAGGTGCTTAATTCATAACCATTTAACCAAACCAGTTATTCTATATATTTTTTAAAAATTTCACTCTCTCTTGAAGTTTTGATTTCTGAGTCTCTTGAAAGGTAAGCAATTGAAAGATGCATATGTTAATAATTTAAATAAAACCCAATAACTTAGAAAACAAACTGCAAATATGGCTGATTTCTAGTTAGAAACACTTATAATTTAGATATTCAGCATGTTTTTATTGAGTATTAGTTATGTGACAGGGGACATTATGATGTATGCTGGGTATATGAAATGAGTAAGACATGTTCATTACACTTGGAGAACCCAGGAGACAAATTCAATTAATGTGGCTAGAGCATATTTTATATCAGGTCAAGTAGAACATAGAGCTGAAGGTCAGGGCTAGATCGTAAAGAACTTTCTATGCCCAGATTAGGAGTCTGAACTTTAGTTTGTAGACAAAGAAAAGTGGATTTTAACCAGGCTAGTAACACAGTCACATTTGCTTTTTAAAATAGATTAATGGTGGCAGTACAAAAATGGACTGAAGGAAATTGTAGTCATCCAGTTGAGAAACAAGACCTAACGTAACAATTGTCAACTACAGTTGCTACACACTGGTGTGTCCTGAGCAGTTGTTATATAAGTTATTCATTGATTAAGAATAATAAAAATGCCAAAAATTGCAGGTTATATAGCTCATTTTTAAATTGGTAGTTTTTTATTTATCTGCCAGATTGCACCCATTCTTTGCAGTTGGGAGAAGAATAGCTCTCATTTATCAACTGGAGAAGGCTGAGAACAGAGAGGCCCTATGCCATACCTCAGCATGGAGGCCCTGTTAGAACAGAATGTTATATTTTCTTTGCCTGCAGGTTTTCTCCTCCCCTAAAGATCCTAAAGATAAATCTGTCTGGGTGCTGAGAGATGCTATATTCGTGAATAGGAAAAAGAAAAAGGAAAAGGAAAAAGTTGCATCCTGTTTAAAGAAACCCTATGACTTGAAGGATAGAGGCTAAACTGAACAAGAAGAACAGATGAGACGGAATCAATGAAAGAAACATGAGAAAACCAACTTAGAAAATAGAATCTCAAGGAGATGTAATGGAGTATTAAAAAGGCTTTCTGGAACTATAAAACAATTTCCAAATTTTAAAATTCAACAGCAGAACTAAAAAAGAAAACAATTCAAAGGAACAGGTGAAGAGAGAGATGATTGACCTAATCTTATGGAGCTGAATTAAAACCTGAAACTTCAGATTAAAGGAACAGACAGAGCCTCAGACTAGATTGATGTAAAAAGACACACACATATCTGATATAATTTCTTAATGATAAAAAAATAAAATGCAGACCTCTGCATACTCAAAGCCTATTTTTTCTTTGTCTATGTATACTAAATATCTATCCAAGAAAGACAGTTAAAAAAAGAGCTTAAAAAGTATAATTTTACTTTGACTTATGCTTTTAAAACTACTTACCTGTCCACATATATCTTTACAGGTTTTCTTGAGTTTAACATTTTTTGATTGTTGATAGAACATTGACTTTTAGATTTCCTGAACTCTTAAGTTTATGAATGTGATTAGTTTCATCATGACCCTGTGCTAATATCTGAAACCGTGAAGTATGGTATTTTAATTTTATAGGCCTGTGGGCTTTCTCCTCGAGACATCACCACTATTAAACTTCTCAATGAAACTAGAGACATGTTGGAAAGGTATGTACACTGCATGAAACTGGAAAAATGTGTTTGTATTTTCAATGAACTTGAGACCATTTTTTAGTTTTTCTTGAACAACATATTGAACATAATATTGTGTTAAAGTTAAATTTTGAATCTGTTCCTCTGCCTTTAGGTAGGATTTCCTACCTAAACTGGAGAGAAGCAGGGATTTTTTTTCAAGATACCCATACCTTGCCCACCCTCTTCCCTAGCCTACAAATTCTGATATACTGGTTAAGGAGATGGAAGGTACTTAGCATTTAATAAGCTTTCCAGGGTAATTCTGGCATACCCCATGTATACTAGTAAATGTTAAACAGCTAGCTCTGGGAAAAAGAAAAAAGAAAAGAAACCAACTACCAGAAACTGAAGTTGTAACTGCAGCAGACCTCAGGCTACCAACTTGAAGTCACTGAACACTAAGTTGGGGAGTTGAGAAGAATTGCTCTTTTGAGAGAGCATGGGCCAGCTCCAGCTAACCTCAAGTATTGTAGGCACATACCTACACATGCTCATGTGTACACACACACGCGCACACTCCATCTTAAGAACTACTCGCTCTAAGCCTTTTAGGACAGACTATAAAGTTCCTAAAATCTTCCAGTGATAAAAATTTCACATCTTCCCTAAAGTGAGTATTACTATTTTAAATTACTCAAAAGAAAGCCAGGGTGTTAAAAATCAAAAAAGCACCAGACTATGCATTAGAAGACCATATGACCTAGATTCAAGGTTGGCTTTTCTACTTAGGAGCCACTCTGGCTAAGCCACTTAAACTCTTTGAGATCATTTTATCATTGTAAAATATGACGAGTAATACCTGTCCTCCCCACTTTATTTTTATCTTAAGTGATAGAAATATCAGAGTCTTTTAAATTAAAACTACTCTATGCCTCCTTGGGATAATTTAAGCTGATTTTCTCTAGTAATGTTTTCTGAGAAATGATATCTCCTCCTTATAATAATTTTTCATGATCAACTGTTAGGTTAACTCAGCTACTAAATCTACTTCTGAATTCATCAAGTTCTAGTCCTTTGGCTTTCTACAGTAGCAATCTCCACCTTTTTTCTTACACATATTTCCACTAAATCACTCAGTGTCACTCAGGAAAAAGTCATCAGTGATCTTTTGTCATATCTAGTGAATCCGTAATGTTCATCTTACTTGACTTTTCTCTGATATTTGACACTGTTGATAAGCCTTTCTTGAAATTCTTTTCTCACATGGTTTCCATAACAATATGATCTCCTAATTTTTCTCCCAACTCTCGGATCACTTCTTCTTAGGTTCTTCTATTTCTGTCTTTCCTTTAAACATTATTTTATTTCCCAGGTATTCTTACTTCATCTGCAACTGCCCCAGGCAATTTTATATATTCCCATTATTTTAACTACTATCCATATGCTAATGATTCCCAAACTTATAGCCCTAGTCCTCCACTCCTAGGAGCTGGTCTGGATTGGTATTTCTACACGGTTGAAGATACAACTAATTTGTTCATTTGTGGCATTTATCCTGTTGAATTTTTTATTCATCAAATATTTATTGACTGTCTATAGTACATTAGGTACTGTTCTGGAAGCTAGGTCTTCAGCCCTCCAGGAACTTACATTTTAATGAGAGAGAAAAACAATAAACTAATAAATTTAATATAATGTCAAGTATCTGAAACCTCATTGATGAAACACAAAGCAGGTTAAGGGCTAGAGAGTGACTGGGGATGCTGTTTTGATAGGTTGATCAGAAAAAGTCTCTCTGAAGAGATGTCATTTGAGCAGAAACATGAATCTACTGTGGATGTGAGCCTTAAAATCCTGGAGAATACAGTTCAAGGCAAAAGAGAAGAGGGTGCAGAGATCCTAACGCTTGGTTGTCCAAGGAACAGCAAGGAGGCCAGTGTTGGCTAGAGCACAGTGAACTAGAAGAGTGATAGGAAAATGAGGTTGTGAAGATAGGCAGGGACTCTACAGTATGTTGCACCATGATGAGAACAATCTGTTTTCTATTCTTAGATTTATGGAAACCCATTGGGGAGAGTTTTAAGCAGGGTGATGACATCGTCTGTGTTTATAAAAGATCTCTGTCATTGCTGTGTGGTAAATTAAAGATAAAGAGATAAAAATGGAATAGGGGAGCCAATTTCAAGAACTAAAGTGGTGTAATAGAGAGATGATTGCAGGCTGGACTGGGTGGCAGCAGTAACAAGCAGTTAAATAATGGATTTGTTTTGAAGGTTGAACCTATAGACTTGCTGAATTACTGCATGCGGGTTATGAAACAGGAGGCAAGAACAACTCCTAGGTATTGGGGCTGAGCATTTGAGGAAACAGGAATTGCCATTTATATTTTGTCAATATTAAGCTTGAGAAGTTTATGAGATATCCAAGTGGAAAGTCTATTGCCAATTCAATATGCAAATGTAGAATGTAAGGGTTAGTTTATGGATATAATTTTGGGAGTCATCACGTTATATATGATATTTGAAACCATAGAGGTAGGATGAGGTAGAGACTAAGAGACAGTTGAGTCATTGAGCGCTCCAACATCCAGAGTTTAGGAAGGGAGGAATGGCCAGCAAAGGAAACTGAGCAGCAGGAGCTTCCCATGAAATAGAAGAAGCACCAACAGAGTGAGGTGTTCTAGAAGATGACTGAAGAAAACGTTTCAAGGAGACTGTGATTAATTGCATCTAAATGCTCCTGAAAGGTCAAATGAGATAAGGACTGAGAAGTGACACATCAGATGTGTCAGGATGGAGTTGTTGGGTGATCTTGTTGAGAAGTTTCAGAGGAGCAGTGGAGATAACCTGATTCAGAAGAATTAAGAGTTGAGAAAGTAGAGACAGTGAGGATAGACAACTGTTTCAAAAAGTTTTGCTTTGAGAGATACTGAGAGATGGGATAGTATTTGAAGGGTAATGTGGAATCCAGGAGATTTTGACTTTGTTTTTTTGTTTTTGTTTTTTATTTCAGAGTATTAATGGGGGTACAAACGTTATGGTTACATGAATTGCTTTTGTGGCATTTGAGTCAAAGTTAGAAGTGTGCCCATCACCAAGATAGCATGCATTGTACCCATTAGGTGTGAACTTACCCATCCTCTCCTCCGCCCTCCCACCTGCTTGGTAGGCATTGTTCCAAGAGCTGAGCGTACTTTGGTGAACTAAACAGACAAAGGTGACTGATCTCGGGGAGTTTAGTAAACGGATGTGTTTAAAAAATCTTAAAAAGCAAAGTCAAATTCCCAAGGGAATTGAAATTAGCATTTTTGAGTGTTTAGGCTGCAAGCACTGTTCTGTACTGCTTTACATATCTTAACTCATTTAACTCTTACAGTAACCCTCTGAGGTAGGTCCTCTGAAGATCTTTTCTTCAATTTCCATTTCTTCAATTTCTATACCCTTGATTATTTTGTTTTTCTTCTTTGAGCTCTACCATATTCCCTTTAAAAGAGAACAAAGTTAAACTTAAATTTGCCATGTAACCTAGCAATTCCACTCCTAGGTATCTGGCCAGAAGAAATGAAAACGTATGTCCACACAAAAACTTGTTAAGAAATTTCATGATAGCATTATTCACAATAGCCAAAAAATGGGAACAATCCAGATGTATATCAGCTGATAAGTGGATAAATAAAATGTGATATATTCATACAATGAAATCCTATTTAGCAGCAAAAAGGAACAAACCACTGATACATGCTACAGCATAGATGAACCTTAGAAGCATTATGCTTAGTGGAAGAAGCCAGACACAGAAGACCACATATTGTATGATTCTGTGAAATGTCCCAGAAAACTGTACAGAAAGAAAGTAGGTTAGTGGTTATCCGGGATTAGGGGAAGGATGGGATTGGCTGCAAATGGGCATAATAGGTGATAAAAATATTCTAAAATTGGATTGTAGTGATTGTTGTACAACTATCTAAATTTACTAAAAATCATTGAGTTGTACATTTAAAATGGGTGAATTTTATGGCTTCTAATTCCTACCTCAATAAAGCTGTTAAAGTGCTTTTAAAAGGAGAGACTGAGGAGAAAAGGTAGATAGGTAGACAGACAGATACATACATACACATGCACACACTGACTGATCAAGAAACCTGAACATAATTAGGCATTTTCTAGCTTTCATAGCCCCCTTGTATATTATTCTTTATATCAAAGAGTTCTTGTGAGGTATAGCGAAAGAAGCTTGAACTTGAAGATCAAAAAGGTCTGGGTTCGTGTTCGAGCTCCCCCATTACTAACCACATAACTTTAGGCAAGTTTCTTCATTCCTCAAAAATCTAGCTCCTAATTTGTAAGTGATAACAATATTTTCTGTCTCACTGGGATGTCGTGATAGAGGATGTAAAGCAAACCTGTGTGACTATAAGAGGATTTAAGAGTTTCGTCAAGAGAAGTAATACTAGTATTGATAATTTTAAAAATACGTTGTACAGAGTGCTGGCTAATATAAGAAAAATCTAACAAATTGTGTTAATATTCTCATTGTCTTGTGCTAAATAAGCTCATTTTTAGTGTTTTATATTTAAAAATTGACTCCCAGATATATTTATAGTGTTTCAAACTATAAAAACTACATAGTGACTAGAAACGTTGGTAGCTTTCAAAGGTAACCACGTAATTGTTGAATTTATTTCTTTTTCCATTGAGAATTTAAAAAGTAATTTATACTTCTTATTTTATATAGTCCAGATTTTAGTACAGTTTTGAATACCTGTTTAAACCGAGGTTTTAGTAGACTTCTAGACAATATGGCTGAGTTCTTTCGACCAACTGAACAGGACCTGCAACATGGTAACTCCATGAATAGGTAAGATGACACATAAACAT